ACTCACAGACATAGAAAACAGATTTATGGTTACCAAAAGGGAAGGGGGAGAGGGATATATTAGGAATGTGGGATTAAAATATACACACGACTATATATAAAATAGATAACCAACAAGGACCTACTGTATAGCACAGGGAACTACACTTAATATCTTGTAATAACCTATAATGGAAGAGAATGTAAAAAAAAAGTATATGTGTATATATATACATATGTGACTCACTTTGCTGTACACCTGAAATTGTAAATCAACGATATTTCAACAAAAAATTTTTTAAAAAGGATATATATGTATAATTGAACCACTGTGCTATACACCTGAAACTAACACTATAATGTAAATCAACTATACTTAAATTAAAAAAATAAATTCAAGGTAAGTTAAAAAAATAAAAAATAAATTTTATCCCGGTCCCTAAAATAAATAAATAAATAAATAGATAGGGACTTCCCTCGCGGTCCAGTGGTTGAGACTTCGCCTTCCAGTGCAGGGGGTGTGGGTTCGATCCCTGGTCGGGGAGCTAAGATCCCACATCCCTCATGGTCAAAACACCAAAAAACATAAAACAGAAGCAATACTGTAACAAATTCAATAAAGCCTTTTAAAATGGTCCACATCAAAAAAGTATTTTAAAAAATTAAAAAATATATACATACATATATAATTTAAAATACAATAAAAATGATAATCGTTAAGAGGCACTTATTTGGTTGACAAGTAAAATAAATGTTTACAAAAAGAAAAAAAGGAAGGATGGAACAATGCATATGGGGGTTAACATTTGTGTTCATTGTTAAAGAGAAAATATATGTTTGTGTATCAAAGAGACACAGGATTCTGCTGCCTCCCTCTGCCCAGGAGATTGAGGTTTGGGGCTTTGTGACCTGGATTCAGTTCTGCCTGTGATCTTTACTGGCTCTGGGGACAGGGTGAATGACTGGGGGCTCTGTGCCTCCGTTTTCCCATCCGTGTAATGGGGATAGCAGAGCCTGCCTCAGGGGTCTATTGTGAGAATGGTTGTGAGGGGGGGAGCTGTCATTCCTGGAGAACCAGATGGGGAAGCCCTCAGGGTTCAGCTGCTGTCTCTGCCCCTCCCAGGCTGCCCCTGACCTTCCTGGGAACTCCAGGACCGGCCACCTCCCCAGCCTCATTCCCAGGCATCCGGCCAAAACACCCGGCCATGTGCTCCATCCTCCCTGAGCCCAGCTGCTTTCTGTGCTCAGACAAAGAGAACTCTGTCCCCAGACCACCAGGCCTGGGCAGGATCAGTGTACCCCACACAGCACACACTGCACTCCCATCCCCCCCGCCGTGTCTCTGTCCTCAGCCCTGGCCCTGTGCTCCTGGACACGCTGTGCCAGCTTTGGCTGTCCTTCCCTCAGGCCCACGTTAATGGGGCATTTCGGAATCTTCTGCTCCTGGACACACACAGTTGAGTTCTGTCTGCAAGAGGTGACTCCAGGACAGCACAGAAAGTTGGGGCAGGGGGATGTGGGGAGAAAGAATAGAAGGACAGCAACAGGTGACATGGCAATAAGAAAATACCCTAGGGATTGGTGTAATGTTGGTAGGGCAGCCATATGATGGTGACAAGGGACAGTAAGGAGAGTGTTGCAGTGAGAGATGACAGTATTAAGACACTGCCGTGGTAATGGGTGATAGTAGGGAGATGGTGGGGCAGGAAGAGTGACTGATGACCAGACGGGGACAACACAACATATAGGACCTTTGCCATCTCCTTGGCCATCAGGTGACTCAGATGATCTTTCCCCGGGTCTGAGAAGTGCCCCCTTCACGAGGCGGGTCCCATGACAAAACAAGACACCAGATCCCCATTCTCCCAGTCCCCTTGAAGCAAGGTGGGGACATACGCCCCCCCACAGTCCTCCAGCCAGGTAACTCTGCCCCAAACTTTGATGGATGCTGGCGTGAGAAGTGGGGCCCCCTGGACTCCGTTTTGCTGAGGGTGGCACTGGTTTCGTGTCCAGGATCATTAAGCACCATTTGAGCCCGGGGAGCAGAGAGGGAATGGATGGTGTCTTGGTGGGACCTGATCTGTGGGTGGTTTGGTGGTGACTCTGCTGGCTGCAGAACTCCCAAGCTTGGGTCTCCAGCCTCCCAGGGATTCTGCACCTGACCAACAGCTCTTTCTGCCGTGACCGATTTCTGCTGCTTGCAGTTTAAGAATCCTGACACTCTGGGTGACGGTACAACTGTTAATGGGTGACAATGTCACAGCAATAAGGTAAAGGTATAACGGTGACAGGAGACAACATGAATGTCCCAGGCAGTGGAGCAAATCAGAAAACACCAAGGTGTCCCGTGGATGGGTGACAGTGAGAGGGCGACAGCAGTGGGTGACACTGACAGGTGACCCTGTAATAAGAATTTGGTGGTCATGTAATATTGACAGGGAGACTGTGTGAATGCTCTACACTTATGACAGTGTGGGGTGCACTAGGATGCTGGAGGGGGAGTGAGAGCCTAAATGTCTCTTCATGACAGTGTGATGTAACAGAGGCATCATAACGGTAAAGGACACCAGTGTAACAGACTCAGGCAGTGGAAGGCAAGGTTGTGTGACAGTAGTGAGGAGGGTGCAGTGGCAAAAAACACTCACTCCCCGCTGTCATTGAGAACTTCCACGTGTCACTGAGACTTCTAACAGCTCCACACCGCCTCTGTCTCGCCACACCCGATGGATTCCTTCTCCCCTGGCTTCCGGAGAGCGGGTAGGGAGAATTCTAGAAGGAAGCACTGCCTGATTTACCAGCCTACCTCTGGGTTTAGCCGTCGAAGTGTTGGTCATGCCGTGTCCCTGCTGTGGGACCATACCTCCCCACATTCCACACATATGCTGGGCTGCTTCTGGGGCAGCCGGAACCTATCCCAGTGCCCGTGTAAGGCACACTTGGTGGCTGAAGAGCAGACCAGGGTGGACCTTGGCAAAGGAGCCTAAGAAGCGGTGACACAGGTGTCCCCGAAAGCTGGCCCATCCACGACAGCCCCTGGGCCTTCCCACGCTGGAATGCCACACCTCTGTCAACTTGATCCTGGGGTTCCTTTCCTAGCTCACTCTCCCCACACCTCACCACCCCTCCTGACCGTCCTCACTGGCCCCGGAAACCCCTCTCCCTCAGTCAGGATGCCCTGAGTCTTGTCCCCAAAGTTTCGCTCTGCTTCATGACCCCTAGCCCAGCCCTGGAGCCCTCACTGCTCCCCAGACCCAGTTCTAGACCCCAGAGAGCAGCCTTCAGAGTGACTCCTCTTCCTGGAAGCCCACCATGGCTCCCCTCAGAGGTGGGGGGACACTACTGAGGGCTCCTGGCCTCTGCTTACCCCTCCAGCTTCCCTCTTGCCCGCCTTCCCTTTTCTCCCCTCCCCAAAAGCTCCAGTTTTGCTCAATTTGCGCATGTTCCATCCTCTCCTGTCTCTAGGCATTAGCCTATCTTTCCCCCAACTTTTCATATTTGCTCTTTTCCACTGAGCCTTCAAGGCTCCCATTCCCAGGCAGAATGCTCCTTTCTGGGCTTCCCTGGTGGCGCAGTGGTTAAGAATCGGCCTGCCAAGGCAGGGGAAATGGGTTTGAGCCCTGGTCCGGGAAGATCCCACATGCTGCGGATCAACTAAGCCCGTGCACCACAAATACTGAGCCTGTGCTCTAGAGCCTGAGAGCCACAACTACTGAGCCCGCGTGCCACAGCTGCTGAAGCCCGCGTGCCTAGAGCCCATGCTCCACAACAAGAGAAGCCACCACAGTGAGAAGCCCACGGCACCGTAACAAAGAGTAGCCTCTGAGAAGCCCCCGCTTGCCGCAGCTTGTGAAAGCCCACGCGCAGCAACAAAGACCCAACTCAGCCAAAAATAAATAAGTAAAAAAAAAAAAAAAAAAAGCCTGAAGTCTTTTATTAAACAAACATGGGACGGGGGTTTGTTTCCTGGCTTTACCACTTATTAACAGTTTTAATATTTCCAAAAAAAAAAAAAAAAAAAAAAAAAAAAAAAAAAAAGAATGCTCCTTTCTTTCCCCCCTCCTTCTCTCTGGCCCAGGAGTGTCATAGAGTCCAGGTCTGTCTCTTGGGACCCATATTGGGAGATTATAAAAGTTATCTCTCTCGTAGAGTTTTTTTGGTGATTAAATGAGATAATGTGTATGAAACTCTTAACACCAAGTCTGGAACATAAGCACCTGCTAAATATCACCTCAAATTGTTATTTGCTATTTATTTCATTCCACAAGTACTTTGATGGGGGCATGATCAGCCCAATCAGCTTTGGAATTCAATAGGGTAAACTAACAATTTCGGTGTGGGGAATGGATTTTTAAACTGGGCTTTGCCAGATGCATAGGAGTTTGCTGAGTGGAATAACAGCCTCAGGTCCAACAAACAGCTTCTGACTAATCCCCATATTCAGGCTCACTGGTCTGGTGGTGTCTGTTTTCAGAGGTGGGAAAGTAGTGGGGAAGGCTAGAAATTTTTGTTTGGATATAAGCTCCAGCTAGGGAGCAGAAATTCTGAAATTCAGCCCCTATGACAGGTGGAGAAACTGAGGCTCAGAAAGTCTAGAACTTCGGGATTCTTAAACTCTCCATTTTGAGAATCAGATGAAAAATGTGGACCTCCTCTCTAGAAAACTCATCTTTGGCCAACGTTTTGCCTACATTTTTAGGGGCTTCCGGATGTCAGTCTAGTTAAGAATCCAGGCCCCAGGCGCCAGGTAAGTTTCCCCAAGTCACCCTTGGAATTCTCCTTGCCCGAGAGAGGAGGCGGCGGCTCGGGAGGACGTAGGAGTGGGCCTCCAGGTGAGTCTCGGGACCTTTCAGGCCTGGTTCTCTTCCAGGCCACCCCAAATCGCAGCCCCATCTCAGGGCACCACCACTCAATTTCTTTGCGAAAACGTGGTCCCCCCAGCCTCCCCACGCCGCGTCTCAGCCCACGCCTACGGCTCTGTGCCCCCCATCCCACTTCTTCAGCCCCTCGGAGTTTCTCCCGTAGCCCCAGGCCCTCACCCAGTTCCAGCCCCTCCCTCCGCCCGGCATCGGAGCCCCCGGCCCCCGCCCCGAGAGCTTCAGAGGTGCAAACGCGCCCTCCCCCAACTCCTCCCGCCCCCGACTCCCCCCGTGTGGCAGCTCCGGGCTGGGAACTCGGCGGGGGCGGCCTCTCGGTTTCGCGTTCCCGCCCCGGGGCCCCGGCGCCGCGCCAAACCGGCCCTCCAACGCCGAGCCCCGCGCGTCCGCTCGCCGCGCCTGCCCCCACGCGCGCCGGCTGGCAGGTAGGGGAAGCGCGGGACCACCGGCGGGCGGAGAAACCGGAGAGCAGCGGGTCGGGGGAAGGCAAGGGCGGGAGGAGGGGGCCGGGGCGACGGAGGGGGAGGGGATTCCTTTGTTTGCAGCCGGCAGCCCCGGACCCAGCCCCTTCCCCTCCCCGCGCTACGCTCGGCGCCGGCGTGGGGCGCGGGGACCTGGCGCGGGCGGGAGAGGCTCGGCCCGGGTGCGGGCGCGGGCGGCGGACACAGCCGGGCTCTGACCCGCAGGTGAGGGCGGGGCCGAGCGTGGTCGCGGCTCCCGGGCCTGCGTCCCCGGCTCAGCCCGGTGGAGAACACGGCTGGTGGGCTCTGAGGACGCGTGCCCCCTCCTCGTCGGCGGAGCCCGGGATTCCTCGCTTCCTGCCCCCCCTCCCCCAGTTACCCCGTGCAGTGCGCGCCGTCCCCCAGCTCATTCATTCCACAAACTCCCGGGCGCGGTTCTCAGAGGCAAAGTGGGGGGTGAGGGAGGAGTTGGATCAAGCCAGGCCGGAGATGGAGGCCCCGTGGGCCCTGAATTCTGCCTAGAGAAGGCGTCCTCGGAGTGCAGACCAGCCGGGACAGCCTGGGAGCAAGAAAGGGGTGCTCCTCACCAGCCGGGCCGATTCTTTCTCGCTTCCCCGTCAAAGGTGACAAAGGTCTTTTCCTTCTCCGAGGACCTTGGGACCACCTGGTCAGACTCTCATGTCACCCCAAGGCCCAGAGAGGGGCAGCCACTGACCCAAGGGCACACAGCAGACTCCCCGTCTGTTCTACACCCAGGCCCAATTCTTCTCCCTGGTGTGGAAAGTGGGACTTGAAAGGGGCCCCCCACGAAGGCCACTTGGTCTGCCTTTTGTTCCCTGAGGGTTCAGCTTCCATCCTCCTAACCTTTGCCTGGTCATCTCCTCTGCCAGGAGTGGCCGTGTCCCCATCGCCTCCCTCCCATCCTTCCAGGTCCTGGAGAGAGCCAGCCACCTCCTGGAGGGTAGGGCACCCTTGATCTACTTCCCCTCCCTCCCCTCCGCCTGGGCTTCAGCTCCCACTCAGCCCTTCGCTAAATGTGTGATGGCCTTTGTTTGCGCCTCTGTGAAGTGGGCACAAAAGCTGTCCCTTCCCTGCTGGGCAGAGGGGTGTTCTGTCCTTTGGGAAGTTCCAGCCTGTGCCCCCTGCTCCTGGAATCCTTTCCTCTCATCTGGATGCCTGCCCCAGCCTCTTCAACTGTGTGCTTCCTCTGGGGCCCCTGCAAGTCCTTCCACACTCCATCAAACACCCATTTCTGCCCTTGTTCCGGGCTCTCCATTGCCCTTGACGTACAAGCAGAAGCCCCGTTACACAGGTGTGCACCCCTGAAACACCCTGGCTGCCTGCCACCCCCTCCCCTCCACTCAGCAGTCCACGATCTTCTTGCCTCTGCTCTCAGTGTGCTGTGTCTGCCCCGACACCCTTCTCTTGGATGACTCCGTCTCTGAGACATCACACCTCCTCCGAGAAGCCTCCCCTGACTGTTCACCTGCTTGCAGGTCGGGCTTGGATGCCTCCCCGGGCTCCCACAAGCCCCCAGTTTCTCCATCCCGGCAGCGGTCCCACTGCTTCTGGTTCTCCTGGGTGCCCCGTGGCCAAGGGCTTCTTGCTGAGGTTGACTCTGCTTCCTCTCCGCAGCCTCCGAGGGACACATCATGGTTCTGGAGGGTCTGTGCTTGACAAGGAGAGGGGCCGGCACCCACACCATGGCCCAGGACCCCTTGGCTCGGCTCTTGCTGGCCTGGACAGCCCTGTCGTGCGTGGTGGGTGTCCAAGGCCGTTGGGACGGGGCCGTGGAGCCTGCAGGTCTCGGACGTGTGCGCAGGCGTGGCAGCCCAGGCTTCTTGCAGGGGTGTGTGGTACCCGGGATGCCGAGAAGCCCCTGGGGTGTGGGCTGGGCTGGGCTGTCCTGCTAGGTGGGGGGGATTGAGGCCCAGGGGATGTCCAGCTGGGCAGGGGCTCACCAGCCATGCCTGCTCTCCTGAAGGCCGAATGTGTGTGGCTCCCGATTTCATGCCTACTGCTGCCCCGGCTGGAGGACGCTGCCCGGTGGGAACCAGTGTGTTGTGCGTGAGTGTCGCTCCCTTCCGGAGGTGGGGGGTGCAGGCAGGGGACACTGGGGCAGTTCTCTTACTGCCAGCAAGTCCAGCCTTGTTTAAAAGCGGACTTGGCCTGGGACGTCTGGCTAAGCCACAGGAATGGCCCTTGCTTCAGTCTGCAGGCTCCCGGGCCACCCGCCCGTGTTTCTTTGTCGTACAACTTCCCTGTATCTGTCTGCTTGTTGGTCCGTCTGTCTGTCTCAGTCTCTGTCTCTTTCTGTCTTGGTCTCTCTCTGAGTCTCTGTCTCTCTGTGTCTGTCTTTTTCTCTGTGTGTGTGTGTCTCTCAATCTCTCTGTTTCCCCACTCCCACACGCACCCCATTCTAATGTGTCTAGAATCCGGCTCTGCTCCCAGGAGACGCCCCCTCGCCTCCTCCCCAACAGTACAGCCAGTGCCCCAGCACCTCCGGCTTCGGTCCTTACTACTCAGCGTTTCTGGCCCAAAGAGCACCTCTGTCTCCCAATGGCTCCAGCAGAGCCTGGACCCCTGGGGCACCCATGGGGTGGGGATGGCGGAGGATTCGGGTCCAGGCCTTGACAGTCGCCTGTCACTCTCCAGCGGTCTGTAGGCACGCCTGCGGCGAGGGCTTCTGCTCCCGACCCAACCTGTGCGCCTGTGCTGATGGGAAGCTGGCCCCCAGCTGTGGGGTGAGCCGAGGTGAGCAGGAAGTGACCCCCCAGGACTTCCCTGGCCGTCCAGTGGGTAAGACTGCGCTCCCAACGCAGAGAGCCTGGGTTCTATCCCTGGTCGGGGAAGATCCCGCATGCCCGCATGCCGCGTGGCGAGGTCAATAAAAAAAAGTAAAAAATGAAAAAAAGAATTATAAGCTTAAAAAACAATAAAGAAAGAAAGTGACCCCCCAGGGGTGGGAAGAGAAGGTGAGAGGCTTCTCGAAGCTTCTGGGAGCCCAGGCTGGTTTTGCTGAAGGACCAGAGCCAGGCTGGGCGCACCTGGTCCCCACGCCTTGTACATGCATCTCGGAGCCTTCCTGTGTGTCCCCCTTCCCCACCCGCAGGGTCAGGGTGCAGTGTGAGCTGCATGAATGGGGGCAGCTGCCGAGGGGAGTCCTGCCTGTGCCAGAGGGGCTACACGGGCACCGTGTGTGGGCAACGTGAGTACCCATCACGCACACCTGGGCTTGGGACCCCAGAGGTCAGGTCTCTGCTGCCACCTGCACACCGCCCACGGGTCACTCCTCTGGGACCAGGATTGGAGGGGACACACTCATTGTCACAATCTTATCTCTTGGTCTGGGCCGGATTGTGGGGATTCCTGCGTGAAGGAGGGCTCGCCCGGGCCCCAGCTCTCTCTGCTGCTGGGGGACCTCAGGCCACACCCCCCCACTTCCTCCACAGCCGTCTGTGACCACGGCTGCCACAACGGGGGCCGCTGCATCGGGCCAAACCGCTGTGCCTGTGTGTACGGCTTCGTGGGGCCTCAGTGTGAGAAAGGTACCAAGCTGTGCGCGGGGCAGGGGTTTGGGGGGGAGGAGGGCTTCCTGGCAGCCCCTGAGACGTGGCCAGGCCCTGGGAGGGTCCAGCTGACCTCCTTCCTGCTGTCCCTGCTGCTGTGAAGGGCAGAGAAACTGTGCTCCAGGGAAGGGAGTCACGGAGGGCTCCCTGTAGAAGGGATAAGTTGGAGTTCATGAGATGGACACGCCCCCTCATGTTTCATCCTCACTGTTGAAATGATCCCACGGGCTGAGGTGGGTGGAGGTCACCTGTTGGGAGGCTGCTACCAAGACAAACACGGTGGAAAGAACAATGTTTTGTGAGAAGTTGGATGTTGGGGGGTGGGGTGGGCAAGGGGAGGATTGGAAGCAGGGACAAATCCCAGGTCTGCTCTGAAAACTGGAGGGAAGGTGGTGCAGCCGGGGGTAGGGAGGGGGAAGACCCTGAGGCTCAGTGTTGGCCGAGGAGCCTGTGGGTCACCCAGGAGGCAGCTGGACAGCCAGGCCTGGGGCTGCCCCATCCACGGGGCTGAAGCCCAGAGGATAGTTGAGGTTCTTGGGGAAGAAAAGGAAGGGCGATTTAAGGGTCCACCAGAGAAATGGAGGCCATGAGCAGCTGAGAATGAGAAAGTGAACAAAAGCAGGTGGCGTTGGGGATGCCCAGGCTGGCAAGTTTTGCAGCTGTAGGAGCCATCAGAGTGCCCTGTGTGTCCAAGGAGCCCAGGAAGGCAAAAATGGGCAGGACCCTGGGACTCACCCCAGTGTGAAGGGTGCTGCTGGGGATGGAGGCCCATCTGTGGCTGAAGCCGGGTTGGAGAGGGTATAGCCATGAATCAGAAGCTGGAGGGGCTGGGGGTTACCTGGGTTTGAGAGTGAGCATTTGGAAACTGGATTTGGCAAGAAAACAGAGTTGGAATTCGGGCTGACTTGGGGAGCAGTCGGGATGGCTGAGGGAAAATGAAGGTTAGTGGAGAGGGTGGGAGAGGAGAGGCCTGGAGCGTGGCTGGGGGCCCAAGAAAGAGGCAGGGTTGGGTGCCTAGGCAGGAGTACTGGATGACTGAGGTGAGATTCTGGGGGCTGTGTTTTGCTTTAGGAGGTCAGGACTGTCGTGAGTCTCCCCTCCTTCATACAGGCCTGGGGGCTGGCTTTGGCATCTCCTTCTGGAAGGGGCTTCCCTTGGTCCAGTGCCAGCCCCTTGATTGGAGCCATCTGGAGGATGGAGCCAGGAAGTCACATCTGGGCCCGTGCACGGCGGTGGGGGGACCAATGAGACCACCTTAAGCTGGGTGGGGAGGGGGTGTCAGGGATGCAGAGTTGTGGGTTCAGAGCATTTGGGCGGATGCTGGGTCTGGGAGATTTGGCAGAGCCAGATGTGTGCTCGAGGATGAGAGAGGCTCTCCAGCGGGGCATCCATGGGTCCCTGCCCGGGCTTGAAGGGAGGGTGGGCCTGGGGGAGTGGTGGGGGTCTCCAGACATGCCCTGGGCTTTGTAGGCTTGGAGGTCTTGGCCTCTCTTGGAGGTTGGTTGGAGAATGCTTTGGAGAGAAAGGGTTTTGAAGGGTGAATAGGAGTTCATCAGGTAAGGAAGGGGAACAGTATGAGTAAAGGCTTGTGGTCAGGAAAAAAAACCTGGTGTGTTGGTATAGGGAGGCTGAGAAGGTGGCTACTGCCATGGTCCAGGCGAGAGAGGTAGAGGCCTGAGTTGGGCTTGCAGGGTTGGAAATGCAGAAGACTATGGGGTGGGGGCAGCCTGAGGCCAGGTGCCCACATCCATCTGCCCTGCAGACTACCGGACAGGGCCCTGCTTTGGTCGAGTGGGCCTGGAGGGGTGCCAGCACCAGCTGACAGGCCTCGTCTGCACCAAGGCTCTCTGCTGTGCCACTGTGGGCCGGGCCTGGGGCTTCCCATGTGAGCTCTGCTCTGCTCAGCCACACCCCTGCCGCCGGGGCTTCATCCCCAATATACACACGGGGGCCTGCCAAGGTGAGTGGGGGGCCCAGTGCGTGAGGACCGAGGTCCTGGGAGCCAGGGCTGAGTGGGAGCCCTCAGCAGCCTTGGTTTCTCCCTCTGACGTGCCTCTCATTCCCTTGCAGATGTGGATGAGTGCCAGGCTATCCCAGGCCTGTGCCAGGGGGGCAGCTGTGTCAACTCTGTGGGTTCCTTTGAGTGCCGCTGCCCAGCTGGACACCAGCTCAGTGAGAACAGCGCCAAGTGTGAAGGTGGGCGACGGGAAGAGGTTCAAGCTGGGACCTCCTCTCTGCTCTGGGCGGCTCAGGCTCCCCTACAAGGAGGAGGAGGTGGAGGTGGGGTAAGGCTGGTGGGGGGCTGGACTCTAACTGGACATGTATCTACATAGATGTGGACGAGTGTATCAGCGTGCCAGGCCTCTGCTCCGGGGGTGACTGCACCAACACGGTCGGGAGCTACGTGTGCACCTGTCCCCGTGGTTATGCCAGCAGCCTGGACGGTACCCGTTGCCTGGGTGAGCCAGGGCCCAGGGGGCTGGAGGGGCAGAGGACAGGTAGGAGACAGACCCTCTGCTCATCTATGTCTGCAAACCTCTGGCCCTCGGGCTCCTCTAGTCCTTCGATTTCTATGCCCTTCTGTCTTTTTCGGACCCCGGTTTCCATCCCCTCGTTAATTCTGGTTCCCTACCCATTGGCCTTTGGGCTCTCTGGACTCCAGTCTGAGAGGCCCTCTAGCCCCCATCTCTATGCCCTTTAGCTCTCTGATCCCCTGTCTTGGTGTCTTGGCTGTGCCCCTCTGCCCCTCGGACTTTATGCCCTTCTGGCTCACTGGCTGCCTTTCTTCCCTTTCTGGCTTCTGCCGCTGTGCCCCTCTAGCCCCCGCCTCTATGCCCCTCTGTCCCTCTAGACCCCACCTCTATGCCCCTCTACCCCCCACCTCTATGCCCCCATCTTGATGCCCATCTGGTTATCTGGACTCCGTCTCTACGCTCTTCTGCCCATTTGTCTCTCTGGCCCTCTCTCTGTATCCCTCTTTACCCTCCCGAAGGCTTTTTTAAAGTACCCCATCTTCACCCACACTGTGTTTGAGATAAACTGAGGCCCAGAGAGGGGAGGTTTGCTTAAGCCAAATCCGCAAGTCCAGAAGAGGAAGCTACCCACACCCCAGCTCCCCAGACCACCCCGCTCCCTGCCCCCAACCAGGGTGGGGTCATCTGGGCTGTGCCTCCCCCTGGAGGCTCACTCTCCTGGCTGGGGCGGGAGGATCCTTGGGCTCTCATTCCCTGTCCTGCTGTCTTGATGAGCTGGTCATTAGACTTCAGAGGTTGCCAGTGGCCAGCCAGGAACACCTGTGGCGGGGCATGGTTTGGGGAGGTGGGGTGGGCTTGGCAGGTCTCTTGGTTTGGGGAGGTGGGGTGGGCTTGGCAGGTCTCCAGCACCACTCGGACCTCTCAGGCTGGGTCTCTACCAGCCAGGACAGGGAATATTGTGTCTGGAGTTCTGCCAGTGTGCCATGGCCAGCGCCAGACCTATTTATTCCTCTACCTCTGGGGGCTATCTTGGCTGGCATGGAGGCTACCTCTGGGCACGTCCCCTGGACTGTAGGGCATTTCCCAACTACTAAATAGCAGAGCCTAGATTTGAACCAAGGTCAGGTGTCCTCTGAACATGGGCTTGGAATTCAGTCCTGAGTTCCAACTGCTACTTAAGCTGCTTGCATACTCTGTGACCTTGGGCGAGTGACTTAACTTCTCTGGGCCTCAGCTGCCTCATCTGTGAAACGGAGATAATGGCTGTTCTAAACCACATGGGGAGGATTAAATAACAATTTATGAAGAGATTTGCCCAGGGCTGGATGTAGGGGGCACTCAGTACACATTCACAAAGAGCAGGGAAGTTGGGTTTGTGACTGCTTAGCAGGGCCTGATCACAGTAGGTGCTTAATAAGCAAAGGCAGCATCATTTTTGTCAAAATTCTTACATTTTGTCTCGTCTTCCCTACTTGGGAAGCAGCTGCTTGGTCAGGTCCCCTGAGGTTCAGGAATTTGGGTTTCCATCCCGCCTGCTCTCCAGCAGCTGTGTGACCTTGAACAAGTCTGTTGACCTCTTTTCGCCTGGGCAGGCCCAGTCCTGTTCGTGGGCCAGGGGTGGGGCTGGGAGTGCAGAGCCTCGACTCCCACACATGCACCTGGGGACCACCCCCCTACCCTCCCTCCAGGTGCATGGGGTATGGCTGGGGAGGTGGAAATGCTTGCTGTTTTCTCTGCCTCAGGCAGGTCAGGGACAGCTGCAAGGCCCCTCCCGGCTGGTGGGAGGGGTTCCCCC